GGTCAGCAACGGTTGCGCGGGGTCAGCAACCGCCGCGAGGGGCGAGTAACGGTCTCCCGGGGGTCTGGCACTGCCGTCCGCGGGCATAACTGCTTTCGGGGGTCAGCAACCGTCTCCTGGGGCGGGGGCGGTCCAGAGAACGAGTGTTATTTCGGACGGTTTTTTTCTCGGGGTTAGAGTTTTGTACAACATGCATGATTTGCGTGGTGAGGTACCGCAGTGGGCATCCTGGAGCTTGGCACACTCGGTGGAAGTGGGTTTCCTCGGCGTGTCCAAAGCAGCTTTTGCTCCTCATGGCACCACAGCAGGCAGTGCCTGCCCCTCTGCCTCTGCGCTGGAGGGATAGATGAGGTCATGTGAGGTTGGCTTTTAGGGGTGGGCTGGGTGCAGGAACTTTGCTGCTCTGTGGCATTGTGGGATGATACGGGGAGGGAGCTCTGGGGCCCACAGAGAGAGCAGTAAATAGAAGTGCCATCTGTACCCACCGAATGCTCTAAATGAGCTTTCCATCATGGTGGGAATTAAGGAGGTGCAAACATGCTTAGAGCAGCAAGGTTTGAAAGGAAGAGAATGATTCACAAGTGTTGGCCAAGGCAGTGTTTTCAGAGTTAAAAAAAAAAAAAAAAAAAAAGGCTGTTCCTTGGTTACTTGGAGAGCTATAAAGGCTATTCCTGGTTAATTCTTTGTTGAGGGACACCTCACTACTCTTAGTCCTGTTACTGAGACTTCCTAGTGTATGTTTATATATGTCTTTTGTGCTAGACCATCTGGAAACAAAACAGGACAAGTCTGGGCCCCTGAAGGATCTACAGCCTTCAAGTGTCTCATCTCAGCCAGGTTCTGTGCTGCTCTCTTAAGCAACATCTCAGATTGCGATGAGACATTTAACTACTGGGAACCGGTAAGTGGCAGTTTCTCCTTGGAGCAATCTGAGAGTTTGTAATCAGTCCATACAAAGGTAGCTTTTTCTAAAACCTGTTTCCAATCTGTGTTTTTCAAAGAAAAATATTCGAGGATTCAATATTGGGAAGTGCAAAGCTGCAGACTTCATTTGATCCACTTTGGTTTGTTTGTTTGTTTTTGATCACCTCTGTAGACACACTACCTCATTTATGGGAAGGGATTCCAGACATGGGAATACTCTCCAGCCTATGCCATCCGCTCCTATGGTTACTTGTGGCTTCATGCCTTACCAGCCTTGTTCCATGCTAGAGTTCTACAAACTAATAAGGTAAATGAGACATATTAAGGCTTCTCTTGTGAGAAACTAACATGCTTTTAGTGTCGGTTAAACAGTTGCTTTCTCTGTTGTCAGTGATAATAAGTGATAACAAAACTACTGAAAATGCATTCTACCTGGTGAGCTTTTGTCATGTTGTGAAAGTTTTTCTTCACCTGTATCCAGAGGCATCTGTGGTGTTACATGTTATTTGGATATCTGGAGTGAATTTGTTTTTGCAAATATTTTTCTTTACAGTCTTCCAGAATTGGGAGATAGCACCAGTCAGTTCAGTGCACTGTGTTCACTTTATTTGCTGTAAAGGGCATCAGGATTAGAGGGCTAGCCCTTGAGCTGTTGGGAGCTTTTGCCATCCCTTGGTCTGCAGTCTGGGTCTACAAGAATAGGCTCAGTCACTGCTGTTAAATTTGCTCCATCTGGTTCAGACCTTTTGTTCTTGGGACCTGTTTGATACCACCAGGTACATCAGCTTTATTGTGAACCTTGTTCTGACTTGGGTGCCTCTCCTAGGTTCTTATCTTCTATTTCCTCCGATGCTTCCTGGCCTTCCTGAGCTGCGTTTGTGAACTCTATTTCTATAAGTGAGTATAGGAAGGTGACTGCTGTGAGTCTTTTCAAGCATTGTGAATAACACATTCAATTCTTGCCACAGAAAACATATTCTTACGCCCATATGTGAATATGTCTCCTAGACTGGGTTGTTTCACAATCAAGCCTAAAGATATATGTCTATTAAGGCAACTTAATGAAATATTTTTTGGAGTTTCACTGCTAGGACAAAATTGTAGTCTGAGATTCACCACCCACTTCTCCACTGCAGTGTTTTGCCTTGGCTACCCCACTTCTCACTGATATCAGCAAGTAGGGTGGGTGTCTTGTAAACTGAGCTCTGCTGGAAGGAGACTGGTGCTGTGTATGTTTATCGTGGTGATTTTTGGTGGGAGGCATTTATGGTTTCCCTCTGTGGTGTATTTGCCAATAGTGTCTACATCCACTAAATGCAGTAATCTGAACAGGCAATTGTTTTATTTAAGCTAGGTATTTATTTATGCTGCACGTCCTTTTATTTGTGCCTTTCGAGCCCTTACCTTGAATGAAGCTGATATATCTTGAGCTATGACTATCTGAAATCCCAGGCCAGTGGTGACCTTGCTGGTTTGCAGATTGCCTTTGGGGCTGAGAAATGGGAGCCATCCAGCTTAAAGCTTTGGGGATGCTCCAGGAATTGCTTGTGGCTCTGCATGCGTTGAGTATTGTGCTTTTCTGTATTGAAGACTTTTCAGTGGTCTCTAATTCTCCCTTGCTTCCTTAGGGCTGTCTGCAAGAAATTTGGACTACATGTGAGTCGGCTGATGTTGGCGTTCTTAGTCCTCAGCACTGGAATGTTCTGCTCATCTGCAGGTAAGTCTCTTAATCAGTGAGCCTAACTAATAATGATTTTGTCCAGAGGAACCAAGTGCAGGTCCAGAGAGAAGAAAATCCACAGCACAATCTCTCTAGCAGCCAGTGCCTTGTACTAGATAGTTTGCTGTACTGCATTGCAGGTATTTCTTGCAGCAGGTGTGGAGACAGAATAGCTCTTGATTGAGATGGTTTCCTGCATCCCTTTCTTTTATCTTTCCTCTTGCAGGCATATTTATTTTTACTGCAGCTTCCAGTCTGGATGCAGTGGAGCCAAGATTATTGACCTGCCTTCTTTAAACAGTGCTTAATCTGAGGAGGGAAAGCCATGTTTTTTTTGGATAGTAATTTGCCTTTGTGTCCTGTCTCTTTTATCTAGCTGTGCCTTTCTGCTAAGTAAACTGCTGAAACTCTTGTAAACTTAGCTATGATTTTCCAGAGCTTAGGAGTTTTAAGAGCTTCCAGTGAAGCATCCCAGGCTCCATGGAAACCGTAAGAGATGTTTAGCCTCACCTTGGACTGGTGCATTCTCTAACTGTAGAGAAGGTGTGTTAACCCCTTTCTTTCTTTGTGTTGCAGCTTTCCTCCCGAGCAGTTTCTGCATGTACACCACCATGATTGCTATGACTGGCTGGTATATGGATAAGACCTCTGTAGCTGTGTTGGCGGTGGCTGCAGGAGCCCTTGTGGCCTGGCCCTTCAGTGCAGCCCTTGGGTAAGAGAGGGATGCTAAGAAGTTTTGTACTTTCTCAAATACTTGTTGCCTGGCTGAGGGGAATGTAGTTGCACAGGGTTGGAGGAACCACAGCCTTATTTCTTCGCCTTTGGGCTGCTTAGGTTTGGGAGGATTTCCTGACCCTAATATGTGGAACAGACCTGAGCCAAATGAGTGAAACTGGGACTAGTAGACCCCAGTGAAGTGATGATTCTCGCCAAGTTACTGCCTCCCTTGCTTCAAAGAGATAGAAAATCTCGTGGTGGGGCAAGGTAAAGGCTCCATTTAATGCCTGCTCTCTCTTTCAGCCTTCCTATTGCCTTTGACTTGCTAATCATGAAGCAGAGGTGGAAAAGCTTCCTAAATTGGTGTGTGGTGTCATTGATCATGTTTCTGGTAAGTCCCTGTAATATGTCAAAGAAAGAAAGGATTTGGCTTGCAATGAGTGGAAGAGTAGTTTCGTAAACAAAATCACGTAAAGTTTTTGGGCTATACAGCTGAGAGCTTGTGACGCTGCATACATTATAGAAACTTTCTTGCAGGTGCCCTTGGTAATTGTGGACAGCTATTACTATGGGAAGCTGGTAGTTGCGCCTCTCAACATTGTCTTATACAATGTCTTCACCTCTCATGGACCTGATCTGTATGGTGAGTTTAAGATAACACCACAGGAAGGAAAATGTTGATTTTCTTGCTATTGTCAAGGGACAGACCTAGCAGGTATTGCTTGCTGGTCTTATTTTGGACATAGGCAAAAGGATGAACAGCTTGCCACCTCCAGAAAGTGTCAGTTTTCACTTTTTGCCACGGGGTGTCTCTCTCGAGTTGGGAATCCGTGGAACATTATCACATTTCCCATTGGGTTTCAAGTGCCTTAAGTTAAGCTGGTTTTAGTTTCAAAGTTCTGTAAATCATCATGAGATGTCTCAACAACCCTGCATCACAACAGAGAACTGTCTGGTAGCAACATGAATGCAACAGGCACAAATGAAGTTGTTTAATACAGTTTGGGTTTGCCACAGTGTGCAGTCACTTTTACATTTTGCTTTCTGGGTGTTTCTTTCAGAGTGGTTATTTATAATAAAGAATTGAGTCATTCATCATATATTTGAAAAATGCTGGTTACACACTTGGATCAATTGCCAATTTAATTAAGCCAAGGAAAGAGAGACATGATCTCGTGTGTATGTGCATGTGTGTATGTGTCGGCTTTAATCCTGTTCTTGGCTTTTCTTGTACCCCTCAGTGAGGATGCAGAGCTTTGGGGAAACGTGCAGCAGTGCAGGACCCATCGTTATTTCAGGTCACATAGGTCTCTGCAGACTCCCTAGTTCCACACTGTGCTTTGGGAATGGTCTTGATTATTTGACAGTATGTGGCCTGGGCTCTGCTGGCAAGTAGCATCCAATGTTACTGTAAAAGTATCCTTCAGGCTCTACAGAAGGAAGAAAGGTTAACTCATTCCACATGCTTCTCTGGCGATCTTAATGGATGCAAATCAAATTTGAGTCACATAGGCTACACTGGATCTCCTTGTTTCTTTTGGACAACAGAATGGAAGAGAAAAAAAAATCAAATGACCTTCTGACAATGACAAGCATCAGAGTCCAGAAAAAGCAAAGATAATATTTAGGCTCCTTCCTCTATAAGCCCTTCATAAAGCTTATGAACTTTTCCCCTTTTTTGGGCTTAGGCAATATAAAAGTTATCTCTACTTTCCAGAGCTGAACACAGAGTGAAAGAAATGCCTTTCCTAAGCTTGCAAAGTGAGTCAGTAGCAAGTACGGGATTAACGTTTCATTCCATATGGTTTTTATGTTAGCAAAAATTCCAGATTGATGTATACAACATCATTTCAGACATATAGTTACATGTAGGAATAAGTGCCATGAGAAATAAGTAAGCCGATAGCCTCAACAAAATTTAAAAGGGGTTAGAAATATTTATGGATATCAAGGGCAGTCAGAGTTGTCATCGTCAATAATAATGTCAAATTCAGAATGGATATTAAACCTCATGCTCTAGGGTTTAGGATAATCTCCTAGTGTTGGAGACCAGGATAATATCTAATCTGCAAGCAAATCATCTGCCTATCATGCGATTTCCTGGTGGTAGCCTTTCAGGATACTAGGTGACCCAGATCTTAGGTCTGAATCCTTCTGGTGAAGCCATAGCCTTTGTTTGGGGGCTGCCGCTTCACTAAGTTGCTTATACCTGTAGTGCTAGAGTCAGAGGAAGAGTTTATTATGTTTCTAGCGGAGTTTGAGAGGGACTTTTTGCTGGAGGAGACTTCAGGGTGTCCTAGGGAACAGGGTCTCCAGCATCTCTGTAGTCTGTTTCAACTCTAGCAAGGTTTTCTGGGAGGGGTTCGCCAGTGATTGGTGGAGGCTTTCTGCAGCAGTGTCCTGCAGGCTGTATTTGGAAGCTCCCTTGAAGCCTGTTTTGGGGGGTGCTGAGTGGTGGCTTGTTCACTGTGCTGTGGCACAACAGTGATGGCTGCCATGCTGTGGTTCTTCGTCTCTGCAGGAAGGCACCAAAGCCTCTTGCTGTGAATCACTGTAATGGAGACTCCAGGCTTTTTGTCTCATGGGGTTTGGCATGGGCTCTTCCATGACCTTTTTTATACACTAGTGCATGAAGTGTTTCCAGCATGCTCCAGGGACGAATGTATTCTGAAGTGTTTTATTCATAGTGACATTTGTATAACATCCTTGGGCTAATAAAAGAGCCTAACCAAAACTGCTCTTTTATGCAGTGTGGTCAGGACAACACTGTGTGTTTAGAGAGCCCTTCTGGCTTTGGAACAGGGATTTCCCAACTTTCGTGTGATGGGAGCTGAAGCTGGTGAAGATTGCAGTCATCGACCTGTATCTTCACTGTAATCACCACACTATCTTTTCTTTGCCTCAGGCTGGAGTCCTAAAGGCAAGGCTGGATTTCTTCTTTTTTCCTTTAGCAGTATACTCCTTCTGGATAAACACCATCTGTGCAAAGAATATTTCCCCTTGTGGTTATTAGCTTTCTATAGTCAAGAGAAAGTACCTTCTAAGAAGACATTCCTGAGCCTGATTCTGTGGCTTTGTGGTGTTTTTGTGTGCGTACATGCTAAGAACACGCAATTGGTGACACAGCTTGTGCCCTGCTTCCTGTGATGAGAGGTTTGCCTATGATTTGCAATGCTGTGGCATTTTAGGAAGCTTTCTTCAGCTCATGCCTGGCCATAACTGAAAGTACTGGAATTGGAACTCTTTATATGACACCTTGCTCTGTTGAATCCTGGTCACTAAGTAGAATGAAAATAAATCAAATGCAGAAAACCGGCTGTTGATTATACTAGGACTGCATCAAAATTGTTTAGAATGAGCAGTGACTCATGATCAGATTATTGTGGTTTAATTACTACTTAAAAACTGAGCTGCAGCTTTGGTATGTTTGCAGGCTTTTAACCTGTGGCAAATATTGGACAGTTTAAGCCTGTTTTACAACATCTCTGTTTTGTGCCAAGTTGCTCTCACCATTGCTGTGGTCGAGCTGCAGCGTGATGGCTTGTTAAGCCCTATAAATAATCAATTTATATTACTAATCGCCAATTTATGTCAGTTTAAGAAGACTTTTGTCTGTTCCTGGGTTCATCTGCAAGCAAGTGATTGTGTTAGTTTTTGTACTGAGAGTAGGCAAACAGCTATACAGTTCAGAACCCTGTAACTGCTTCTCGTTTTCAGTGCTAATAGGTAAAGATCCTAAAAGAACTTATGTTGCTTGGGCGGCGCCTCGGCCATTCCAGTTGCACGTTTCTGGCATTACTACTTCCACTCGTAACTGTATTTAGTTGTAGGAGCTGCAGAGGTGTTGGGTTTTCCCTGCTGCTTTTCAGTTGTCTGATTAATTTCAACATGGACCCTTTTTAAGTGACTCTGATTGCAGGAAATTGCTGTGGCATGTGACACCTGTCACAACAGTGCAGTGATTAAAGCCCCCGCGTGTCATTTATCGACTGATTGAGCTAATCACACAGAGAAAGTGGCAAATGTGCAGAGAGGAACTGGCATTGCTCATTGTTTAGGGTTTTAAGCATCTTGAGATGAGAGTCCAGATGAATGACAGTTGGACTAGAATTTCTGTCAATTTGCATCCTTCCAGCTTGCAACCAACACCTGTCTGTGTGTGCCAGGCAGTGGAGTTGAATTGCTGCTGTTTAAAGCCACACGGCAGGAAAAAATGGAGCAGGGAATTTTTAAATAGTGTCTATTATGGGAAAGTATCAAAACTAGCATCTGGATGCACTTTAGTAGCAGTGTCTTAGTTGAAGTGTGAATGGGAGCACTTTCTGTTGTTTGGTTCTAGTACATTTTCTAGTTGTGACAGCATGGAGTATAACACCACTGATGTGCTGTAGGGTAACAATAATGTCTTAGCGTGGTGTGCTTTTAGATTATCCCTCTGTAACAAGAATGATGTTAGCTAGAATGATTGATGGATAAAATTTCCTGACTTTATTATTGTTGCTGCATAGGCTTCCGTAAGGCCAAGATGAGTTTTGTGTCACAGCTTTCTGTTGGCCAAGACTGGTGCTAGTAACTTGTGAATCATAAGCAGCAGATTTAACACTGACTATGACTCAGTGAAAAAGGAAATAAATCCCTCATGAAAAGGGAGAAAAGAAAGTCTCTAGGGTAGACATAATTGTAAGACATATGGGTACTTTGTAAGCCTGTTGGCTAGTTCCATTGTCACTGTTAGATGGTTTTCTATGCTTTGTTCCCATGATTTGTTTCCTGTGCTTTAGGTACTGAACACTGGTCCTTCTATTTCATCAACGGCTTTTTGAATTTCAATGTGGCATTTATTTTGGCTCTACTTGTCCTGCCATTGACTTGTCTCATGGAGTGCCTGCTCCAGAAATTTCATGGTGAGTGAAAGATAGCTGTGAGAACCGAGCATTCAGTTACAGTTCTTCTGTGCCATTTTTCCTGAGGAAGATTCATGCCATATGTTAAATGGCAGCAGCAGCCTCCAGGTTCATCAGTCCAGTTAGGGATCTGTTCTCTGATATTTACTGGATACATGAAGCAATAACATCGTAAACCTTGCTGAAAATATATGCTAATGGGTGTTTGCTTATATCTGTTTATTGAGTATGACTGACATACTGTCAGAAAACAGTAAAAGCCCTGTAGGAGATCCTGTCAATGCAAGACTTCTTGCTGTTCACTTAGTGTTTTTGTGCTTAACAGCAGGAGCCATTCTGCTGGGTGCTTTGTTCTTATTGTCTGTGAAATGCCTTTGGCTAAATTGTTTAACCCTGCTGTTGGCAGTAGGGAGGAGGGCAGAGACGGGAATGAAAATTGTCAGACACTGTGCAACTCCCCTCAGCATGACTAAAATTCAGGGTAATTGTTGTTATTTTTGAATCAGTTATTTCCTGCACTGGGCAGAAGGTACCTGAGAGACCTCTCACGTGCTGTCATTTTTGTAATGAAGCTATGAAGGTTGCGGAAACATTAGTGGCTAAACAATGACTTGAAGTGAAAGGTGGATGCAAGAGGGGAAAATAGGATAAATCTCTTACTCTTCGATTACTACTTTGCTGAGTGTATTTTTTTTCTTTCAGTTCAGAATCTGGGCCGTCCTTACTGGCTGACACTAGCTCCCATGTACATTTGGATCGTGATTTTCTTCAGTCAGCCCCACAAAGAGGAGAGGTTTCTCTTTCCCATCTATCCTCTCATCTGCCTTTGTGGTGCTGTGGCGCTCTCTGCTCTTCAGGTAAGCTCCGGTAGGATGTGTTGATTTTTAAGGAGCTCACACCTTTAGGGAGAAAAAGTGCTAGCTGGCTTTGGTAATATTGCATTCCAAAGCTTGGGAATGTCTGCAGAATGTCTGTGTCTGTTACACAGGCTGCAGCATTTACGTAGCTCCCTGTCCTGTGGGTAACTTGTCATCATCTATATCTAATCTGCTAGCTAGTGCACTTTCATTTTCATACCGTTTTTCACGGGCAGATATTAAGTCTCTGGAAGCAAAATGCACATCACGTAAAGTGCTGAAGAGTGTGCACATTGCTGCTTTTATGAGAAAAAATGTAGTCCTTCTGTATAGGTTAATGGAAAGTGCCTGGAAAACTCTTAGCTCGCTCTGTGCAGTGATGCAGAAGTATTTGGAATTCCCCTACCTGAGTGGCATGCAGAATGAAGTAATCCGATAATCTTGGACTTTCGTGCAAACTTCTGAATAGTCCAGCAAAAAAGATCAAATGTCATGACTTTATAATGTGATCACATTAGGAACTTGTCTGGGATTGCGTCACATTATAAATGGCTGAGAGTATTTCCTTGCCACTTGTTGTTCCGTGGTGACTTTGATTTGTTGTCCCACTTGCAAGTGGGAGTTTTTGATTGCAGTTGTGATGTTACAATGCCAGTACAAATTAACATCCAAGACATGTCACAAGGATTAATAACTTGCCATAGTGCTGGGCATTCTTGGACTGTCGGGCCAGCTATAAAGGGCAGGGATGTGTGTAGTAAATGCATTTTGTTGTATGCTGACAAGCCGGGAAGTGGTAATCCCTCCTACACAAAGGCAGAGCGGGAGAGAGGGACCAAGCCAAGCATCTGATGCAGTTTCTCGTGTTAGTTTTTCAACCGTATCAGAGTTTGGGCAAATTCTTTTTTCTTTTTCCTCTCATCAGAAGTGTTACCACTTCATATTCCAGCGTTACCGCTTAGAACACTACACAGTCTCCTCCAACTGGCTGGCTCTGGGGACTGTCTTTCTTTTTGGCCTCTTGTCATTGTCACGCTCGGTTGCCTTATTCAGAGGTTGGTATGGTCTTATGCTTCTTGGGGTATTGGTCTGAAGCTAAGACAGGTTTAGGAGCTTAGATATCATTGTACCTTCCATTGGAAGGAATAAGTTGTATTGGTCAATTTAAATATTGATTAGATGTATGATGCATATTAGTATAATTATATCAGCTAAAGCACCGATGCCCTCCAATTTCAGCCTGGAAGGCTATACTTATTCAAAATCTGTATCCAGATTACTGTCTATGCAGATACTTAAATGTGTAAACATAAGGTCCTACTTGAAAAGCATTTTTCCCATGTAAAATTTGTAATTTGGTGCATGTGACCTCTGTGGAAATGGATTAAGCATGGTACTTATGTGCTTTCTTGAACTGGGGCCGTGCAGTGAGCCTTCCCATATCTGCAAAGTCATGCAGCAGAATTTTTTTACTGGTGAATATTTGTTGACAGTCAGGATTGGAGAACGTCAATAAAGGTGCTTGCTAACAGCACCTCCAAAATGCAGGAATGGGAAGGTTTGGAGTCCGGCCACTTTTTAGTGGCCATTTAACTTATTCAATAAGCTGTCAACTAGAAAATAGGTATGAACGTTTGTTTCTAGTCTTTTGAGATAAGTCAAACAAATGTTGTCTGTTTTAGCCTTGTTTGCAACATTATCTCTTCCATAGGCTACCATGGGCCTCTGGACTTATACCCAGAATTTCACAGAATTGCCACTGACCCAACTATTCACACTGTGCCAGAGGGGAGACCAGTTAACGTCTGTGTGGGAAAGGAGTGGTACAGATTTCCAAGCAGCTTTCTCTTGCCAGATAAGTAAGGTTTGATTTGGTGAGATCTGTAAGCTGGGCACTTGTCATAAGTATTTATGTGAGAAACCTTCTGGACATTGTGTCTCTGAAAACCAGCCTTTCCGAAACACAAGATTCAGAGGTCTGATGTCAATAGATTATGTTGAAATTTGTCGTGTGACCATTCTTCCAGCAAGGCTGTCCACTGTCGAGAAGGAAGTGCCCTGTGTTATACTTTTTTAATTTACTCTATGCAAAATTCTACCAGCTTCTGCAGTTTCCTCTTATGCTTTCTAACACCCTTCTCTATAGTTGGCAGCTCCAGTTCATCCTGTCAGAATTCAGGGGCCAGTTACCGAAACAATTTGCCAAGGGACCAATGGCAACGCGGATCATTCCTACTGACATGAACGACCAGAACAGGGAAGAGCCATCTCGCTATGTAAGAATTACATTGCTGTTTTCCTTCCTTACTCTGTCGTTCATATTACTATAGTGCCTAGAATCATGGATCAGATCTCCCCATCTTTTGTCTGGGGACTTTACAGCTACAGAACAAAAATGATTTTTTTGCAGTACTTAAAAATTTCCCCATTTATACAAACATGGTTTTTGTTTGCATTTCATCTCCCTGTTTTTCATTTAAAGAGGTTAGAAAAAGAAAAACAGGCAAAAAAAGAAGTAATAATTCCTAGTTGTGCAGTTTTGGGTTTAGCATAACATATTACTGTGCACACAGGGAAGTGATGCATATACGTAGTTTGAAATCCCCCACAGAAAGTGTTCGTCACTGAGCAGGGATTGAAATTTTCCTGTGTCCTTTTTCTTTAAATATAAAGTTATTCTTCATATTTGCTAGAGAAGAGAAGGAGCTTAATTTGGAGCTTTATTGAAGCAATTACATTAGTGATTTCAATGGAAAGATGTGTAAGATAGTGTATACCAGTTTTATTCATTTGTTACTATTCTTGGTTGTCTTGTGTTACCTAACCAAAAATAGCATTCACATACGAATTTTTTTTGAAGTATTGTCAGCTAGCTACTTGTGAAATTACTTGGCAGTTAAAATTTTAGTGGGGCACTAAATATCAGATATTTCGTCATCCTTCCTTTTCTATTTTAGGGGGGTGAATAAGAGGAACTGCCAAGAAATGTGCAATCCTTTTTTTGTCCTCTCTTAACACCTTGGGGGATAACTTTGGTACGTTCAACAGTATTTAGGAAGCACTCATATGTATAAGACCAGGTTTCTGGTTTGCATGCGTGGGTGTAGCTTGACTGCGGAGAGTGGACATGTGCTCATTTATGTGGCTCATGGTCTTTTACATGGTGTACAGAGCAGTTGTGATCTACTCTCAGAAATGCATAGTTTGTGATATGGTAACAGAGGTGGGATCTTGAGTAAAGGCAGGGATGAACTGCCTGGATTGAAACTCTCTCATTTCGAGCATCATTCTGTAGCTATTAGAAATGGAAGGTAGGCGTGTACCCACCTGAGAGAAGCCGTCTGCTGCAATGCATTTAATTTACAAAATCTTTTAAATGTGGCATATTTTTAGCACAGACATCTGGCTGGTGCGCAGTCTGTGACTATGGAACCAAGCACATACTTTTGTTTCATGGTTGTTTCTTAATGTCACCATACAATTTTGTTATTTCTGATGCAAGAAAGAAGGCCTGAGACAGGTTTCTTTCGTACAAATAGAAACTAGCTACTTTATGTAAATTTTAAAGGGGATTTTAAAACAAGCGTTTTGTTCAGAGCTGATGATGATGCCATGAAAACAGGAGCTTCTCTAGAATTTAGTGAGCTCAAAGAGTGAAAGCACACCCAGGTTTAGGGAAAAAAAAAAAGAGAGGGAGAGAGAACAAAAAAAGGACCATAATTGCAAATAAATCTAAATAGCATGAGTCTGTTGGTCATTTAAAGAGGAGAAAACAAATGTTGCAGAAGGATTATCTCAGCCAGGGACAGCTCAAAACCTGTTAATGGCTGAAGTGAGACTGATCTCAGTTTCCGGTGTAAGTATCTATTACAGCACATTACATTGAAAACTGAGGAGTAAATTTCACTCTTTTTGTTGCTATGGGGTGCTGGCAAAAAGAGAAATTTAACTTTTTTGTTTTGCGATTCTTTCTTCCTTAATGGTGTTGAACAGCACTTGTACTTGTCCTACCAGGAAGATGTATTTCTCTTCAAAACTACTGACGAGGAGAATACAGGGTGAAGAGAAGTCCAAGCAGGAACAGTAGATTAGACCTAAAAGCAGATACAGTGTTAAAATTCCTGACTTCAGGGTTTTTTTTTTAACCACTTTATTTTCACTTCTTTTTCCATTCCCTTCATTTCTGTTTTGAACTGTAGCAATCACCATATTTTATCTTTATTTGTGGTAGACCAGACAAGCTCTTGCCATGCTCTGTGTTGCTGTGCCAACATCCATCCAGGCACCAGCGAGAGACTTATGTTTTTATGTCACTTACAGGTGACTAGTTTTTCAGCTGGAGGATGGTCTTTATTCTTAACTTGTCTTCTCCTCTAGAGCTCTTTTTCTGTATGCAAAGGTTTCTGCACAATGTATCCTTTCATGGAACTACCTTGTATGGACCTTATCTCATAACTTATGATTGTTATTAAAAGGAAATTTATCCTGATAGCAGCTCAAGACTTCTTTGTATCTGACAGTTCACATATGTCCTGGCAAAGCTTTTTGTCTGCAGCAGCTTGCGTGCACATCTGTATGAGAACCTGCGAGGAGTGGGGAGGGGGCTATTTGCCAGGAAGGACCCAGCAGCATGTAAATGAATAGTATGGTCTGCTTGCATCCAAGAGCGCTCTCGTCAGCCGGAAGGAGAAGGTTGCGTAATGCAAGTCTCTTGGGGACACTGCCTGCAGTTGGTTTATCTGGGAGGTCGCACATAAAATTGATTTCTGTGATGTTACTTCCTCGAATACATTTTCATATTTTGGCAGAGAGCTGCCAAACACTGCTGTCAGGGCAGAGCGGCCGTTACTTGCGTCAGAGGCAGCTGATAAAGGCATGACTGTGCTGATACCAAATCCATATGGTCTGAGGAGTGCAATGTGATGTTCATCTGCTGAAGGCAAGACAGTGAGGGGTCAGCAGTGCTGCAGCCCTGCTATTCATGCACAAACCAAGCAGAGTACAGGACATCTGTGTCAGTTTAGGCATTGGAAGAGCTTTCTAACACTAATGACAGTGAAGTCTTTTGCTTGGGGAGCTGTGGAGCCAGCACCGTTAGAAGTCTTAAAGAGCTAGTTAGGCATCCACAAGGAAAGACGCCAGAAGAATTGATTCTGTCCACTCCAATTCCCCTTTGTGACCTGACAGTTCCTCAATAAAAAGCTGACAGTAGAGTGGTGGTTGCTCAGAAAGGGACCCCAGGACTCCTCTCCATTGATCCGAACAGCGGTGATTATTTACATTCCCCATAAAACTTTCACTTGAAAATATTCAAAATGTTTTACCAAGTTTTGTAAACAAAGCACTTGCTGCTAGAAATGTAAACTCCTTTTTTGGATGCATAAAAACAGGTGGTGTCTGTTAACATATATACCTGTAAACCTATAGGAAATAAACTCAAAGAATCTCTTCCTTTTTACAGATTGACATTTCTAAATGCCATTATCTGGTGGACTTGGATACAGCAGCTGAAGCCCCAAGGGAGCCAAGGTATTCCTCCAACAAAGAAGAGTGGGTCACCATTGCCTACAAGCCATTCCTAGATGCTTCCAGGTATATTTTACGTACTTGGAAGGGAGGGAGAAGGGCTGGCAGGTCAGTGAACTTAATTGCCCTTGGCGGTCCGCTTACAAAAGTGGTTGTATACTGGCAGCACGAGCCAGCTTGAAAAGGTGTTTCCAGTAAATACTGGCCACAGTACAACCTCGGTCTTACCTGTACCTCCAATATTTGTTATGTAGGTTGCTTTAAAGCATGAGCTAGCTGAGAAGAGTGCAGAGACAGGATTATATTTAAAAGGAATCCCCTCTGTGCACTTCTTACTAAAATAATGGTTTTTTGTTTTGTTTTCAAAAAAAAAAAAAAAAGAGATTGTTGTCATGTCCTCTCAGCAGACTTGAATCTCCTGTCTTGTTTCAGTCATTTTAATAGACAGATGTAAGTCAGCCTCAATGAGAGTGAACTCTTAAAAGTTTTATGAAAGCTGGCAGATCAGTAGGGAAGACAGTTTCAAAGAGTGAAAAGATAGCAAGGTCCTTCCTTTATTAGGCATCAGAGAACCCATGTAAGAGATCACTGTCAGTCTAGGCTTCGTTAATTCTGTTCCTCACTAAACAACTTGCTTATGCATTTGAACAAGAACTTTTATGAGAAGCGTATATTAGAGTGAAACTGTCTCCCTCCAGGCTAACACACAATGGAGTCAGGATCATCAAACTGGGAGTTAACTGGAATGTTAACATGTCCTTGCAAGGACAGCAATTTCTCAGGCTGTAGAGAGATGGTTATTTATTTCTTGAAAGCTTTGGTCATGTAGCTGTCATGCCAGCACACTGAGGCTGTCGAGAAAAGTCTCTATAAAACAGTAACACACAAGCCAAGGCCTGTGTTTTGTGTGAGACCTAGCAGTAGGTCTGAGTTGCACCCAAAGACAGATTGCTGAAAGTAGTTAGAGAGTGAGAAGGAATGAAAACGTGCTTTTCCCAGAGGCTGCTTTCATTATGGCCAGATTGCTGACACAAGTTTCCTTGGCAAGATTTTTTATGAACTGTGTTTGCCTAGGGACCTGCTGTTATGTTAGAGGCAAGGCTTCAGGAAGTGAGAAGGAAATGGCCAGTGAGTTTAATTAATGAGGCAATAGGAACATCTGGGCAACAGTTTTGCAAAGGACTTCTTGTACAGAGCAAAGAAAATGGAAACTTTCAGGGGCATTTCTGCTTCAAATACATGTTCAGGTATTTTCTAAGCTGGTGTGTCTTGTTGTGCTCTACTGAAAAGACAAACTTTGATTGGCTGGCCCTGATATAATGTCCTTTGAAGTCAGAGGCTCTGGATCAGATGCACGTGAGTTTTTAGGGTACCTTGGCTCCTTTCAGGGGGTATTACTTATTAGGAGTGCTTCCAGGGTTAGCAGGCTATCACATCAACCTGTCTAATGAAAGCAGAGCAAATTACCCTGCAAAGGCTGTACAGAACATCCCCGATTCTCCATAGCTACTTTCCATGCCAATTTCTGTTTGTTTTCTTTTTTTTTTTTTTCCCTCCCCGTCTTTAACTGGCATTTGGTAGAGAAGGGTTCATCTGTCTAATGGGGCTTTTGGATTAATGCAGTGTGCTTTTTTCAGCCTCTGAGCTTTGGGTTAAAGCTCCTGAGAGATGCATCTCTCTACTTCTTTCCTCTGAAGCCCTTTCACATGCCATTAGAAGGCGTGCCCTGCGGAATCCAAGGCAGTGCGCGTGAGGGAGCAGGAAGATAGTGTGTTTCTGCTCCTTTTGCTGCCAGAGAGCTACGCCTGGCCTGAGAGCGTGGGCCTTGCCACAGGAGGGGCGCAAAGAGTTTGGAATCCTCTGCCCTGACGCGGGGTTTCCTTCGTTCCTTTCTCACTTGCCTGGAGATGTTTCCTGTAAGGTGTTCCTCCTTAATTCTGACCCCACTCCACTCTGCAGGGCTGCATGGTAACAATGTAAGGATTTAAAGCTGGAGCCAAAGACAGAGCTCGGTACCTGGCTGAGTCCTTGTCACACTCCCCTCGCTTTAGATGCTTGAATGTTATTTCCTTTGTGAGTTGCTCTGTGAAATTCATTTGCCTCTCCCCCTCTCTTTTGGGGAGATGGATGGGATTCAGGAACTCCTCTGTTTATTGCCAAGCCTCTGTGTCTTGGCAAGCGCAAACATTGGGCTGGCTGCTCAGGAATTCTGCTTCCTGAACCACAGAGGCAGAGATGCTTTTGCATTGCGGGCAGCTCTGCACTTCTAGGGAAAATGCTGTCAAGGTACTTCTGTTGACTTGGGGACAGTAACTTTTTCCCAAGCTTGGCATTGAAATCCTGTCCAGTCATCTGGATCTGATGTGTGATACTGCATGTTGCATTTAGATGGCCTAAACTCCAGCTAGATCCCTGAGCTGTATTTCCTGTTGGCTAAGCATCTCTGAAGGCCTGGATCCAAACTCCAGGTAACACACTTAGTATGGGGGTGTAGATGTCTGAGTCTAGTGTTTTTGTGTCTGGCTTTATGAAGAAAGAGAGTATGTAGCTGCTACCACTGGAACTGGAATGACAGCTGAAAGAGCAGAACACTGGGGAAGAAGGCAAAGTCTTCCATAGCTATGCAACCACTGAGTGCTTAGAACAAAGAAACAGGTTATCTGAGTGGTGCAGGGAGGAAGGGGACTCTCCTGGCTGCAGTGTCCTCTTTAATAAAGGATGCTGTTGCGTTTGTGGGAGACTGCAATAGAAGAGGGTTTGCAGAGCATGTGTTGAGAGGAGGTCAGGCAGTCAGGTCCTTGGCCTCACTGGCGTGCCTTGGCAGCCTCCTTCCTTCTCTCCTGTTCTTGTGCTGCATGGAAATTCTCCATGCTGTTTCTTATCAACGCGTCACAGCTGGAGCAGAAGGGAGATGCGGTGCTTTCACCACAGTGGAAGAGGCCAGGTTGCCATAGCAGCGTGTCTGATTTACATGCCTGCTGTGAGTATCTCCAGTTCAGATCAGCCGTTTGCAGGTAGGGTGGCTGAAGTGCCTGGTGCTGGTGAAGGACAAAAAGGACGTGCTCAACTGGGGATATCACTGAGGCAGAGGGATGATCAAAGTGTGAGCTAGGAGAGAGAAGCAGTAACCCACGGTTATAGATGTAGCAGCATGTTAGGTGCTAGAAACTGGTAAGGTCAAAGCTTCTCAGAGCTAGTGAATGCGTGGGCAGAGTTCTTCACAGAGTTAGACATACAGGTCTCTGAGTAGAGTGAAGGAAGATGTGTCAGGATCTTCCTATATAACAGTCCAGGCTGTTTGCATTTCTGAGCATGTGCTGCCTCCCCTCCCAGCTCAGCAGAATGACGCATCCCTGAAATCCCGCACCTGCTTCCACACAATAATTTGGAAGTGCCCTCTGCTGCCTATGAAGTAAGTGCAAAAGCACTGTGAACGAGTGGCTTTCTCTCTCCCCCTGCTCTTTTTTTTTTTTTTTTTTTTTTCAATCAGATCTACAGCTCAAGCACTGTAGAGAAAAGAGCATTAGAGGGGAAAAAAAAGCGGAGGTGGGGAGGAGGGTCAGGAAGAAGGAAAAAAAAAAAAAAAAAAGAAAAATTAGTATCTTATCTTATGAACCTAGCAGAAAGATTGTTGGTAGCTTGCTGAACTAGAGGCTTCTGGGACTCACTGCAAGTCTCACATTGACGTCAGCAAGTGCAAATGTAAATCTCAGCTGGCTCTGATAAATGGTGCTGCTAATTGAATTAGAGAGCACTCCAAGCCACCAGCTAATTATGCTCCTCAGGAAGCTGCTTTGTCCAGGTCCATTTAATTCTATATTGGCTGAGCGCTCCAAATCTGGCACAGAAAAGGGGAAATATATTACAGCTCCCTGCTGAGGAGCACATATTTTCCAGCTCTTTAGGCTGAACCGTCTGCTTGCTCCAAATGCTTGTGCTCTCACCCTTGGGATTTCCATCATAAAAAAGTATTCTTAATGCAAGATTAATGATTCAGTCACCTTGTGCTAGAATATCACCACCCTGGTTTGATAAGAGACTCTGTCTCGTTCCCTTTAATGGTGCTTTCCTCCATGCTACATGAAATAGTTTTCTTGATTTTGTTTTATAAGTAGTTAAATCACTTGTTAGGTGCCCAGGTGGTATAAAATTTAACACTTAGAGGAAGTGCAAATGTTAATGGGTTCTCAGAGAGCTTTCATTGCAGGCTTCCCATGTGTGCCAGTAGCCAGAAGGTACTGGGTCCTTCTCATGTGGCAAAGCTCCAGCTTCATCCTGCCCCCTCTTCTACCTTTCCTTTCTCTTCCTCCTCCTCTTCTGTCTTTCTGAATTCTGCCAAATTGGGTGAGAAGTTCAGGCTACAAGATACAATTGGCAGTAACAGTTTTTCGGCACCATCACCCTGCATGTATCTATCTGTTTCTATTCCAAGTACATCTTTGAGGTTGGGAGTGGGGACTTCAATTCCTTCACTTGCCACTTCTTGTTCTTCCTCCAGAAGAGCATCCATTGGAGTTAATAGAACAGGGCTATTCAGTTGTTTTCTCCTGAAGTTCAATAGATAATTTATAGAAATATGCCTAACACAGAACAGGGCTTTGGTGGCAGGTCTAGTGCTGTGCAGCTCAGTGCTGACTGGGAACTGCCCTAGGTGCAGACCAAAAAAAGGAAAAGTATTAGGACAAGAATTCCTTTGGGAATGTGGGAGACCTCCTACCTCTGGGACACAGCAAGGACTGGACAGAATGTGCCTGTTGCCCAGCTGTGTTCCAGAGGCTGCTGTTGAGGGAGCCTTGCTGTCACGGTGCTGCAACACCATCACACTGGACCCTTGGCTTCCCAGTTTGGAACCCCTGTGGCCTTGATCTTACTACCAAGGTACTCCATAGGAACTCTGCAGCCTAAGGCCACACACACTCACAGTCTCCAGAGTACAAATTTAGACACAAATGCAAATAGAACATTATATATATTCACTGTCTGCTGTCATCCCAACCCCTTCCATGTGCCATCTGCTGTCTGAGGTTGCTGAGCCTGATGGAACCAGGTGACAGGAGATAACGATTTCCTGTCTGAATTTAATGCTCTCTCATGGCTTCCACAGGCTGTAGGGCACCAGCAGCTAGGATTCTGTCGTTGGAAGTAAAGCCTCCAGGACTTTGTCGCTGTGTAGTAACTAGCAGGAGAGAGAAAAATGTTTTGCTAATGTCCAGGCCGTGTCCCTTTGTGGTGAGAAAGCTTCTGCTCAAGAAACACTTGACCGCATATGCTGGTGCCCTTGGTTATCATGCCATTTTTAGGTATTCACAGCTCAGGTCTAAAAAGGTGTCTTTTCCTGAAAATGTCAGGGTTGCTGTTTTTAATATGCATCTTCTATTTACTATTGCACTTTTTTAAACTGATGTCGCTAGGCCAGGGAATTGGTAAGTCTCGTCAACAAGGAGCTGCTTTGCTATGGCACCAGAGACCTGGCTAGCTAACACCCTGTAGAAACCAAGGATTTCTTGCGGACCTGATAGTGTACGCAATAGTATCAGGTTACCTTGAAAAGCAGGCTGAACTTCTTTTTTGGGGTCGCCCCTGGCTAAGGGAGATTTATATCTCTGTTTCTGGAGTGCATACTCCTTGTTCCAGGGGGAAATGCTGCCCAGAGAACAGGAATGTAGATGAACTGTGTCCTTTATACACCGATACACTGTGTTATTACTTGTCATGAGCCTTGTGTCTTTGCAGCATACATGACATCCACTGATGGGAACAGCAGCTTATCTTTCTGCTCTGCATCTCACATCATTTTCCGCCCTCAGTTCTTTCTTTCTTTTTTCTTTTTTTTTTTTTCTGTCAGTCATTCCTGCCTCCTTCGTGATCTCCTTTCTGCCAACAGTACTTTTCTCCTCCTATTCCACTGATGATAAAAGCTATGTAACAGTGAGCACTGACATTCTGACTGCTGTTAAGAAGGGCTGAGTTGCCAGTGAGATTAAGAGCATGTGGAGAGCTTCCATTGCTCAAAGTTGCTGTTTCAGGCTGCCTGCAAACTCGGGGTGGTGATACTGAGTAAGCTGATCTGGGAGACTTGAGCTGTTTTTTTTTTCTTTGGCTACTGTCAGATCATGCAATATCCTTCTGTTCTATAATGCAGAGTAGAACTCTGCAGATTCTGAACATGTGCCACGCAGCCCCCAGGAGCAGGCTGTCAGCAATGCTGGGCGCAGCATTCGATACCTGTTGGGATCCCAGCATGCAAAAGGTATTGGGAGTGCCCCTCGCAAAGGGCGCAAGGAAGAGGAAGTGAGAACAGGCTTGTAGTGTTCCTGCAGACAGGAGAGGCACCAGTGCTGATGGGAACCCCAGGCGCTTAGTTCTGTTGCTCTAGCAGTCAGACCCACTATTACTGGGGTGCCATCAGTTGATACAGGGCTGACTTGGTGGGGGCTGTCGTTATGTAGGTGCATTTAGGTCAAGGGAGGATGTGAACCAGTTGTCTCACTGCAGTCACCTGTAAGCCTCAGGTAGCTGAAAGCATTTTCAGTGTGGCAGACTCTATACTCAGGACCTCAGCCATCAGCCGTAGGTGCTGCCTTCCTCCCTGTCTGTGAGCTAAATTACACAAGGCAAGTCAGCAATGTACTAACTTTTCGCTCAGGTTGTTCTTATCTGCTCAAACCCAAAACTCCAGGGTATTGTGCTCATTTTTGTCCCTTCTTTACAGTCTCACATTAAGCTGGCATTCTCTCTCTTATTTTCCATTTTACTTGTTTTAAACAGCATCACAAGCAGCATGAACATCTTCCCCCCCACCTCCCACCAAGGGAAATGAAATGATACTGAACCATTCACAGAGAGCAGCAAGCTTGAGAACTGTGAGATGTCAGTGTATGCATGTGGGGTGTGTGTGCGTACACATGCTTGTAAAGTTGTGTCAGCTATCATTACTGTGGGCTCAGGCAACGGTAGGCTCTCGGACTCAGACGAGGACATACCAGAAAAAGCCCAGCAATTACATGATGTTCATTGGCCGCAAGAGACGGAGGAGGAAATGCAAGCACCCTGTCCCAAGGGGATGCTTTTTCTTCTAGAGACTGGAGAGAACTTGGCCTCTAATTTCCAGGTACAAGGAATGACAATTGCAAAAATCGTGTCTTGTTCAGAACACACCAAAATTACTATATTTCACCTAGTTATTCCCTGGTAATAAATTTTGATTTAAACATGTTCCCAATTTCCATACCTCAGGAATTCACAAAGAACTAGCCTTTCCTGTGGCTCTTTTATTGAAGAACTTTGGTGGGAGCTTTGTAATTTGTAAAGGGCCTAAACATTATTTCTGAGCCTTTTGTTCTTAGAAGCAAAGCAATCAGCGATTTTACATGCTAAAGTGCTTGGCAAAAAAGCAGCCTTGCAGGATGCTGAGTATTGAACATCAGTTAGGAGTGGGACGTGGGAACTGTGGGAGTTCACGTTCCTTTGACCTCTCTAAGGGTAGGCAGTACTTGCCGCTTCGTCTTCTCTCTGGTATGGGAATAACACTCCCTCCCCATCAGTTTTTCTGGAGTGCTAACTCTTCAAGTGAAGCAAGTCTTGCTCTGTGCTTGTATGGAATCCCATGTAACAGGACCCTAGCACCGAGTAGTGCCGTAGGAATCATCAACCTTTTCTTGGAGCTGCAGGAGGTCAGGAGTTTGCTGCTCTCAGTCGTGCTACAGTGAGGTTGTCTGAGAACCCTGGGAGCCTCCTGGGAGATGTGGTCTGCAGCGGCAGTTCCGGACATTGTGGGTTTTTTTTTTTTTTTTCAACTATATCTTTGAAAAATATCCACTACTGCCTTGCAGAAAGCAAACAAAACACAATTCATCTTCTTGAAAGAGGCTTGAAGTCCTTGGCTGTATTACCAGGATAGCTGCATGACTTAGAGTGACCGGCAGGTACACGCTGGATCTGTATACCACTGTACCAGTATGTGCTACTGACCACTTGGCAAGCTCCAAACCACAGATTTGAGTGCTGCTGCTTTTCCAGCCTCTGTGCTGGTGAAGTTAAGTAGCGTGTTTGTCAAGCCAGCTACTGTACAAATGAGATGAACTCAAGGAGATAAGGTTCAGTGCTGAGAAGGCAAGACTGTTGCCCCAGCACAGATCTCAGAATTCACTCAAAATTTCTAAGCTTCTAGCAGGGTTCAGTGTTGATGATGGAGGAAATTATCTTACTTTTCCACTTAACATTTAAACTTGGATTTTACTATTATGTTGCTGAGTAGAAGAATGCATGCATTTAAAATATTCCCAGCCACCACAGCTTCAGCAATTAGCAGCCAAAGGATACTAATTTGATACAGCTATTAAGCCTTCCATGCTTGACTACTCTGCTGGCATAGTTGTAGCAAAATGCTGTAAAGCACCAGCTCACAGTACCAGGAGGCTGTGGGCTTGCCTTGTAGGTCTTAGAACAGTGTATCCCTCTTTAATTCCGTACCCCTAGCAGAAGAGGAAAATCCTCAAGTCTTGGAACCTGCCAAAGTTTCTCTACTTCAGGCACCGTGAAGGAGGAGGCCAGACAGATTGAACAGAAAACAGGAGATGTCAGGAGCAAACTGCAGTCTTGTTCCGGCTTCACAGTGTGTCCTGAGGAAAGGGAGCTGTGTGTGCCTGCATGGTATTAAGTCCTCTGTCAGGCCCATAGTCTATACTGTTTGTTGTTGGACTGTGATACTTAGGAGCTAAGCTGCTTTCAGGCTTCCCTCTTTCTCTCCCCCTTAATCCTACTCGAGTAGATGGTGTTGGAAAACCTGAGCAGGCTCATGCTTTTAAGCTAGTAACACTGGCAAAAACCATCTTCGGAGAAGATGGACTGGCCTGATATGTCTGTGCCCTTGTCCACCAACCAGGCCTTTTTCAAAACCTCATTTCTGTTATTTTGAATACGTTGGCTAAGGACTGCTTCAAGGATGATCAGTTTTTCCTTTTTGGTTTCAGGTCCTCAAAGCTACTGCGTGCGTTCTACATCCCTCTCCTGTCAGAGCAGCACACATGGTATGCAAACTACACTATTCTGAAATCCCGGAGGTTGAAGCAAATCAGGAAAAAAATGGGAGGCTAGCAATGTACCTGCTGAAAACAATCGCAAGCATCCACTGCTGGACAGCTGCCTAAGGCTTCTCCCGTTCTCTTTGAAAGATTGTGCTTGTAAGATTCCCTAATAAAGATTTCCCATGAAGTGATTTCACTCTGCAAGTTTCCAGCTGTAAAAAGCTTTCAGTTCTTGATGTCAGGTCTCTGCTCTGCCTACTCAGAAAATACTGGTAAGAAACAGTTTGAAAATCCAGCAGCCACCTACAACTGTATTATCCCTGCTGCTCCCGTTGTTATTATCTATTACACTAGAGAAGAGGAAAGTGAAAAATAACAAGGAATGGCAGTGTGAGATTCTACTCCAAGCTGCAGTCTGGCTCCAGAAAAATCCGACTCCACCTCTCTTTCCGTAAAGTCTCTCTATAGTCCTCATCTATGTAAGTAGCGCTCACTTTCTCCTAAGGAACTTTTTCAGCTAACAGCATTTAAGAAAGAAAAGAAGGGGAGGGCAGAAAAAGACCAAAACTGTGAGACAGTGAACTGTGAAATAACTGCATCTCCAGGAATGAGGCAGTCTGTGCCATGTTGCTCTGCCTGCGAAACACTTTCAAGGAAAAGCAATCCTTATAGATGCTGATAACAGCCTTTGAATTCTAGTCTACGGTATCTAGAATTTCCAAAAATAATGCAAAAAGGAGAGAACCATAGGAAGAGTATTTAACATTTGTTTCCCAAACCTACAAGGTACAGAGTATATGTGTTCCGTTGGTCTAATATGCTCCAAAGCACTGCTCTGTTTCATTATATCACCATTTTTAAAGCACGTTGTATTGCAAGCCAGCTGAAGAGGGCTTTTTTTCCATCTACCTCTTTGAAAACTATGCAGGAATGGCATGGCATGAGGTGAAGCTGAGAGGAAGTTCCCTTCTTTGAAAAAAGCTGCACAGGCTCTGTGCCCACCTCTTACACCTGTGAATATGTTGGTCTGCATGTGCAGTGACAGTGCCAAGCAGTTGGATCAGAAAGCAGGTAGGTTTGTATGCAAACAGCCAAGAATGTGCCCCTGGGGATACGTATGCTGGTCCAGGTGCAGAATCCTAGGATAGGCAAGTCTCTTGGCCCGTGTGCAGGTTGACAGCTGAGCCAGATAGGAAGGGCAAGCTGTACCCACAGGTCTGTGAATTAACATGACACTACTGGGTCAGAGGAGGAGGAGGTGGACGAGGAGCAAGGCATGGCTTGACTCAGAGGAGATGCTTTAGAAATGCAGGCAGGGGCTAAGTCCCCTTGGGGTCTGAACAGAGAGGAGGAGCATTAGGAATATTCCAAAGAAGGGGAACAAACGGGACTCTATGGTCAGTGCCTGCTGTTTGTAAGTAAGTAAGACAAACTTAGTAAGTAAGCCCTAAGTAAGAAAAAGGCAAGGATGCCAGTGATGAGCTGTGCTGCTGACTTAAAAGTATTTTTTCTTTTTCTTTTTTTTTTTTTTTTTCTCTGCTAAATCAACTAGATATCCATCTAGGAGTGTCCTGAAGAAGTTTTCCTTGATATTAGCTTCAAAACAATTTTCCAGATGGAACTTGGAGACCAGAGAGATAGATAGCTTCCTCCAGCTTTGAAATAATTTTGAGTTCTCTTCAGCCCCTTGAGCCCAGATGGTGACTCCAGGAACAGCCACTGCTTACAGCGTTCCCACATTTTGACTCCATTGTCTCCTCTTGGAAGGGGAGTTGTCACAGTGCATAGAGTGATTTGCAAGAATGAGTGTATCATGAAGTTGACCTCAGATCTCTTGCTACTTCTGAAATTTATTTCTGCTGTTGATTCTACTAGACAGGTCAGTAGGTGCTAATGAGTGACGTACTTGAAACGAGCAAATACTGTTATCAGCCTGTTTGTGGATTTTGTGATTTGCTGATAGAAGTCTTCTTAAGGTCTACTTTCAGCCTTGGGTGAACCATAAATACTAACCCAATGTGTTGTTCTTCCTGTTATTTATGCTTTCTTGCCTGCGGAACTTGTTAGCGTAGGTAGAAGGCACCCTGCATGCAGGGTTGGCTCAGTTTCCATCCCAGCTTCTCTCAGCACTCTGCACATTGCAACAACCTCATTTTCCTGATCATGTTGCTCTAGTAATGTTGACAGTATCTCAGTTCTGGTCTGCAGTAGAGTAGGGGACATGCCTGCCACCTGCCAAAAAGCAACGTGTGGAACCTCAGAACTGGCAAATGGCTGGAGACAAGCCGTGCTTAATGGAGGCCAGGTGTTCTGATTCTTCTTTGCATTTCACTAAGGAGGAGGAGGCTTTTTAATGGACTTGTCCGCTGCTCATAGCATATTTACACAATGCAAAACGAAGTCAGAACGAACAGTTCACCTCTGTTTTCTGGGTGATTATGTCCTTGGGAATGTAGTCTTCTTACCTTTGACCCCACTATGGAAGAGTTGAGTTTAAAGCTGAGACTTCTGAATTCAGACTTTGAAAGGACCATCTGTGGTATGTAAGCCTTGATGCTCTGCAGAGAGATGGATTTTGCTATGTGTAAATATCACCCCTCGTGACAGCCGAACACGACACTTAAAGGGTTTTGGCCAAGCAACTGGTGTCTTGCATGAGTTGGCCAGGAAGGTCAGAGTCACATTGCAGATGAGCTCTGTGGTGTCCGTGTTCCTGGTCTTGCCCTGTTTCCCTGCAGCTGGCTCTCCCTGCTCTGAAAGTTTGTGTGTGTGAACAGGCCTCTACAGTGGTGAATCACAGTCGAAACTTTTGTGCTCCGTGCCGACCCTCCCCTTGTTCATCCATGAGTATAAACTGAATAAATGGGTTAAAGAAGCAATTGTAGCGCGCTCTGGTGCTGTTTGACTGTTCTGTGTTGTCCTAGCCTTGAACCTTATGTTTACTGTGAAAAGACATTACAATAAATACTGTTTTTAAAGGACTATGACTGTGGCTACTCTACCTTCCCCTCTATTTTGATTCGTGTATTGAGGTGAATGGGAGGAGACTGCTAACTTGACAGTAACTTGTTCCCAAAGAAGTGATCAAAAGTTTGCTTCCAGGAGGTGAATGCAGGTGCAGTTACAGGAACTGGCCCACTTTTGCACTGCAGACTTTCTGACTGAGGGAGAGTCAGGTGGAGTCAATGTTGCCACCTGGAGAATCTGGAGGCTAAAGAGATGAGGCAATGAGAGGAAAGGTGGTGGTTCTTGTTTTAGAGATGGTGAGTGCCCTACCTCTGTCTTTCAGAGAACATCACCCTAGACGAGGTTTCTGTTCTAGCAGGGCCTAAAGGAGAAAAGACCCAAGCGACTTTGGAGGACTTGACCTGTTGCTGTGAAGGTTGCTTCTATGCCAGACACTAGACAAGAAGCAACTTTTAGTTACAGGTTCCATGGGCGACCTGAGATGAGTTACACTGAGTCAAGTCCTCCAAAATCGCTTGGGTCTTTTCTCCTTTAGGCCCTGCTAGAACAGAAACCTCGTCTAGGGTGATGTTCTCTGAAAGACAGAAGGTAGGGCAGAGACAGTCTATCAATCCCAGCTAAAGCCATCCAATATGAGAAGTTGCTTCTAATGCTGTTTTTGGCATAAAGATTGAGCTCTAGGTGATATTTCTGATGGGAAAGGCTAAGACTCCCCTCATCTGTTCATAATTCACAGGTCAGGGCTGTTGCACTCTGCACAATACTGGCATTTAAGCAAATAGCAATCAATAATGAGATGCTTACTGGTAAATAAACAGACTTGATAGACTGTGCAGTCCTAGGAGTATGTGTTTTGGGGCCTGTGGGAAGGGAGTGGGACAGACTGCAAGAATTGCCTGCCAGGCTCGGGTCTCTCTGGATGAAGGAAAAGTTCTCCGTCTTAGGCAAGGAGCAGGGTGGAGATCTGATAACTGCAGTTTTTGTGCTTCGGAACATGCTGTCCAGGTGCTGCCCTGTACTGCAGAACCCTGCCCTGTTTTCCCCCCCATACAAAGAGGAGGCTGTTTTGGCCTTCCTGTTTTTAATCTTCCCCTCCTACTTGGCCGGGGAAGCTTCAGTTTCAACATGTTCTATCTGAGTCAGCAAGAAATAACAACAGGGTCACTGAATGTGGATTTCGTGGTGAAATCATAAGCAGTTACCCTTCGAAGCAGGTCTGGTCTAAACCCAGCCCAGTGGTCAAGGCATATTAGTGGCAATCTCAAAACTTGTCTTTTCACTTTGATTTTTGGTGCAGATAGCTTTCTACATCTGTGATGGTCTTGGCACAGCTGCGAAGTCTTGGAGGCAGGTGCAGCCCCTGCCTGCCTTGCACAGTAATACCCTACACTCAGCTCAGTGCTGCTGCAGATACGAGAAGCCAAAGGGTCAAAGCAAGAGATGCCGTTAACAGGCTCTTCAGCTTTCTACCTTGCCTTTCCAGAACAGGGAGTGGGTTGTTGCCTTTCCTTGGGAGGAGGCTTTTGGGCTTGTTTTGCGTGCTTTGCTTTGATCCAGCATCTCTGGTGGCTTTGACAGCACCGCTGCTGGTGCCTGGCTGGCGTGAACTCTCTGCAGCTGGACACAGGCCCTCCTCTAACTAGTGGCTTCCTGGGAATATGCTTTGGGGACAGGCAGGAGATTTCCAGCAGCTTTATGCATTGCTGTCTGAACCACACTATAAACAAGTCCAAACCCTATTATTAGCCTTTGGAAACTGCTGCCTTAGAGACAGGTTTGCTGGCTCTTCACTAGGGAGTCTGGCAAGAAAAAGGGATCTTTACATCTCCAGAATCTGCTTGTATCTGCCGTTGTTGCTTCATTCCCACCCGGGCCATTCTCCTCACTCTTCCAGCTTCCCAGGTTCCGGCTGGGCTAATGTGGCTTCCATTCCAATATCAGGAGTGTGACAAATGACATCTATTTTGGAGGGCGGTGGAAAAACACAAGCAAAAAGCTACTGGGCTGAGCGCTTGCTGTCATCAGTGCAGTGCTCAGCTGCAGTGCCTAATGTGCAAGTGCTAGCTGTAAGATCACTACTCAGCCCCAGCATGCATGACTGTGAGAAAGTCCTAATGCCCTGTCAAACAGAGAT